TAACTTCAACTACGACATATAAGGTCAAATAACGAGTAAGGAGTATAGCAATGTCAGATAAAGCATGTAAGAGCAGACTAACAACGAGATACCACATATTATGACAATTCAATTAAAGGCACGAAAAGATATTAGATAACCTAAACCGGTCAAATACCACATATAGACTGTGTACCCACTCGTCACCTTGCGTACACGGCTTTCACATAACAAGATAGCAATTAACTCAATTTCTAAGAGATGGGTTCCCCCACACAAAGTTAGGCAAGACACTTACCTCAGAGAAGACAAACCAATATTCTAAAATGAACTTCTCGGGTGAAATGACCTCCGGACGATCCAAATCTAACAAAAATAACTTCAAAGCAAAAATAAACTCATAAGAAACTACTCTAGATCACAAAGTCTCAATCTTTATCAAAATCTAAAAATCGGTCCAAAAGTCGACCCCCGGGCACGCACCTCGGAACCCGACAAATTTTACAAAACTCGAACACCCATTCCGATACGAGTTCAACCATACTAAAAATATCAAATTTCGGTACTATTTCGTCCCACAAAACATGATTTTTTATTTTGAAAACTTTCTTCAAAAATCATCATTTTCCTCAACTCAAAACACAATTTAAATGGTAAAAATAAAGATAAAATCATGGAATATATTAAATTGTAGGTGAAGAACACTTACCCAATCGATTTGCTTGAAAAACCCACGAAGAATCGCTCAAAACCGAGCTCTACAAGTCAAAATATGATAAAAATGGCCTAACCCTCGATTTGGAAAACTTATATTCTGCCCATGTCTGAAAGCATCGCGAATGCGGAGAAAGGCTCGCGTTCGCGAAGAAGGAAAGTAAGGCTGTTATAGAAAAACCCTTCATGAACGCGAGGGAAGGAGTGCGAATGCGAAGAACAAGGGACGAAACCTACGCGAACGCGAACGTGAACGTGAACGTGAAGAAGAAATATGAGGCTGCCAGGAAGAGCTTCGCGAACGCGGGTGTCTAATCGCAAACGCGATGAAGGGGAAAAGCAAACCTTCGCGAATGCGAGAGGTTGAACGCGAACACGTAGAAGGACCTCGAGGTGGTCAGCAGAGACACTTCGCGAACGCGAAAGGAGCTTCACGATCGCGAAGAAGAACACCAGAAAAACAGAATAGTAGTTCAAAAATAGGAGAAATTGACCCGTAGCCCACCCGAAACACACCCGAGGCCCACGAAACCCCGTCTAAACATACCAACAAGTTCCATAACCTAACACGGACTCGCTCGGGGTCTCAAATCATATCAAACAACGTTGAAACTATGAATCACATCATGAATCGAACTTATGAACTTTCAAATCTTCTAACTTCTAAAACTCGTGCCGAAACAGATTAAATCAACCCGGAATGACATCAAATTTTGCAGGCAAGTCCCAAACAACATAACTGAGCTGTTCCAACTCTCGGAATCGTATTCCGACCCCGATATCAAAAAGTCCACTTCCGGTCAAAATCTCCGAAAATTTAATTTTCGCCATTTCAAGCCTAAATCAGCTACAGATCTCAAATTCACCGTCCGGACACACTCCTAAGTACAAAATCACCCAACGGAGCTAACGGAACTATCGGAACTTCATTCCGGAGTTGTCTTCACACAGTTCCATCTACGGTCAAAAATCCTAAGACTTAAGCTTCCGTTTTAGGGACTAAGTGTCCCAAATCACTCCGAATCATCCGGTAACTGAATTCAACCCCGCATGCAAGTCAATACACATAATATGAAGTTGTTCAAAACCTTATGCTGCTGAACGGAACTTAAATTCTCAAAACGACCGGTCGGGTCGTTACCTCCTTCCCCACTTAAACATACTTTCATCCTCGAACGTGCCCGGAGTCGTTCCAAAGCCCTCCAATCACTGCATGAACTCACCATACATACCGCCGGGGGTGATTCCCCATCACCCAAACCTATGTAGGCCTGACAACGCCACTTAATTGAAGACCTCACTTCATCCTTAGTCCTCAACTCAAGACAAAACCCAACCCTCAACATCTGAAACTTCTCATAGGATCTGAATCTCGCATCATCACGTTGTACAAACTTGAACAAGCTGAATCGAGCCACAATTTCAACCCAGGGCACGATCACATGATGTTCCACACAACTCAATTGACCATAGCAATATCTTCTGACCATCATAGCTGTCCAATAATAGTCCGGATGCCGGCGATATGCTTCACATTGAATAAAACCTCGTTGTGGACCACCATGACGTTGATCAAGATGAAAGAAACATGCAAAAACTCACAACCACCCATGAAAGTAGCAAGACAAGAAACTCTCCCGTCCCTCAAGAGCCCTTGCCCAGATCTGAGCGGAAATAGCATCATCCTTCCAACCACTCCTCACCCCCAATACGATAGTATAAATCTCAGGTCTAAGAACCCCTTCTCAGCCAATACCAGCAGCCCAGCTAACAACTCATCGCAGGACCACACAGGTTCTCACATAACAAGGTCCGTAAACCAAGCAGGCAATAACCCGGGCATGTAGAAAAATAAAAGGAAAGCAAGGTACAAGGATTGTCTAACAAGTGCAACAGATATAATGACAAAGTACAGTTTCATCAACTTATTCCACATAAAGAAAACAGAACACAATATAAACACAAGGAAAGGGTATCTCACATAACATCCGATGCGGCGTGCAGCGCAGCCCCAAATATATCTCCATATAGGGATACTCATCGAGCCAAAATGCTCGGGTTCACTGATCACATGAATGCTGATATCCAACACAATAGGGTGCACAAGTATAACTGTTAGAAATGAATAGAAATAGAACAACATGGAGTAAAACATGCATAACTAAAGTGCAATGAGCAAATCCACATACGAGGGCCATCTTGCCCACATCGCCATAAGGCCTGAACGGAATTACACATGCGTAGAGAATAATCATACAACCTCACAGCATAAGAGAGTAGCACATAACATAGGTTAGAGGCACAAATAATATCCATACTGCCCGGTAGCATAACCATGATATCAACTTCACAAGAGTACCCAAACCTGATCCGATATAAAGTACACATTCTCGTTGGGCTTTTAAATAGCCCCCAAACCAAATCCTGATCATTCCCAAATAGGTAAATATGCCTCCACAAGTCCATAGCAACCTACCGACAACTTATGCCATTAGTTATCCCATTCTCAACATTTCTTCACAAGCCGCAAACAAGAAATAGTCCGCATATGAGGACATCCAGCCCCAAAACCTCAGGAATACCATAGTTTCAATTTTCGATCTCAAGTACGCTACCAGAATGGCTGATACATCACTCACACTCCATCATCTTACTAAATCACCCATGTAAATTTACCGGCCGCATAATAAAACCTAAACCTCAAGAAGTCTCAAAACCCAAAAATCACCATGCCACTAGCCACGCACCCGCAAACCAAAACTCAAGGTTCCTTCCTAAAATGTACGCTTTTCACATATGATACCCAATAATGCTAACATTCTATTAACTTCTGATACCCATCCGGGAGAAAACCATCATGTACAACATATTTCTTATGCCCATAGCAGACAGCCGACTCAAGCCATGGCCGAAACTATCTAGAACTCTCTAAGACCCGCCCGCACACAACTAAGCCATCAGGACCCCATCTCCCCAAACTCAACCGAATCACACAAACTGTCCAACCCAAAAGTAGCGCCACAGATGTTGGTAGAGAATTCCCATTCAAAAAGGACCAATTACTTCCATTGCTATGTTGACCCATCACCATAGAGCTAGCCCATTTCTTCGAATACTCCTCGTCTTTCCTCTGGGGTAACACTTCTCCTGTCGATACACAATGATCCCAACCAAAACCCAATGCAGAAAATTCTAGCACGAACCACGCAGCCCAGAAGCTCATAAACCACTGTATTTTCTCTGAAGCACCCCATAATGCCGAAACCAAGATGCCCACGCTGAATAGACCTCCTGTGAATCTGAAGTTTTTTCTCCGACTACCTTTGATACTGAAATGTAGATCCATTAATGATGCAGAAACACCGCAAGCCCCAACATCATCTCATGCAAGATCTCAGATCTCAATCATATGCAAAATTTGGGGAACCGTGCAATACCCTATATATATACACACATCTCCGGCCAAAACTGATGTAACACCTGACGCTGCTATCCGAATGTCGCTAGTGGACTCCCCCACTTGGCGCGAAGCCATAGAAAACAACACCTGGTGATCCGCAAAACTAACCTTCACAACTCGTACAACACCAATCATAAGGTACTCCAAGTCATCTACTAAGTGCACGTCCATTCTCGTGACAGTCAAACTCGCTTCCTTCAATGCCTTGAATGATAAAATGTACCTTCCACTGAGTAGAAATCCCATACGACCCACATAGTCTCCAATACCACCGACTATCCTCAAACCAACATCCACCTCGTGACCCTACCATGATCGCGACGACTAGTTAGCCAATTAAACCTTCCCAAGCTCGTACTTATCAACCAGATACCAGAACCCGCTGCACCTACACGTGAACAACTGAATAATCTCTCAGTACCTCCGCATCCTCAGTCTGGATGACATATTGTGACAATGGTTGAGCATCCCTGGCCCCCTCGTAGCCCATCCGCATCATCAAGAACCGTTGGCACATAGTTGATATCGAGTGCGCAATATGATACACGAGTGGATTCGAAGGAACATAAGATATATGCTTCGAGCTGAATCAATGTCGCACGATAAGGAATGAAAGAGGTGGAATTTACTAATAGTTTTAGTAGCCCCTCGAAGATAAGTACAGACGTCTCCGTACCGATCCGCAAGATCTACTAAACCTGCTTATGACTTGTAGCACCTATGAACCTAGAGCTCTGATACCAACTTGTCACGACCTAATTTCCCCTCTGTTGGGTATCGTGATGGCACCTAGTCTTAGGGACTAGGTAAGCCTAACATTTACTGAATAAAAATAATAGATAACATCTAACAACCTTAGAAATGGAATTCTCTATTAAATTTACCATTCCCAAAACCGGTAGTACAAGCCATAAGCCTTTCTAGGAGAAGTTTTACATAATGAATACGTCATTGTTCCAAAATAAGAGGAAATAATGGAAATAGATACAATAAAAGGTGACTTCGGAGCCTACGAACGCCCAGCATGTGTGCCTTAAAGTCTCCAGCCTCACCAAGCATAAATCTCAAACCAACTCCAAAGTACCTGGCTCTGCACAAAACAATGTGCAGAAGCGTAGCATGAGTACACCACGGTGGTACCCAGTAAGTATCAAGCCTAACCTCGGTAGAGTAGTGACGAGGCAAGGTCAGGACACTCACTGAACATCTAAACCTGTGCAGGATATGACATAAAGCTAACAAGAATGGAATATTCAAGAAATATCAATAGCAGCATAAATCAAATTACAAACAGCAGTAACGATAAGGGAAACACGAATGGCAACGTGAATAATCAAATAATTGCGCAACATAGCTGGATACAGACAAGGGTAAATGTACTCAAGTAGGGGAAACAATGTCAACTCAACCAATCAAGTTATTACTAATACACGATCCATATAATCCAAATTTCCGAAATCTCATACCATAAATCACATCCTTCAAACCTTTAACATGCACGACACCTTGTGCCCACATCTTTCCATCGCATTTTACACGACAAACTCCACGTGCTACATGGTACATAATATTCGTGACAAATGCTAAATAGGATGTTCAAGAGACGTTATGTATATGTCGAAAAGTAACACTACGGAGTCTGAACCAATTAGGAAGTCAATGAGAAAATAAGTTTATTTGGAAATCATTTGGTTAATGAAAATAACCTCTTTCAAATGAATGCAACCCCGGATAAGCTACTGAATTTAATATAGAATTTATTGAATTACAATATAATAACAATTCCTTTTTAAGTAAAATAACCTCAAACAGGCCAAGGAGGTTAAGTTGAGGAATAAATTAAAGTAAAATATGACAACTAGTAGAAATGGTAAGTATCGAAATAAATGGCTGGTTTTAACCTAAAAGTCACACAAGACAGCGTGATATTAATTATTTTATTTATTTAAAATCACTATTTTACTAACAACTCAGCAGGACAGGAGGCAATGACTCAACGTAATAAATTCACCTAGAAAATTAATTTACCAGAATAATAGTATTAGGAAAAAGAACTCAGGAAATGATGGCAAGGCGCTAAGTCAATGACAATAACTCAAATCCTTGGAAAACAGTAAAGAACCAGGAATACAAATTCTCACAATCACGTACGAAAGAACTAAACCAATGCGACAAAGCAGGGGAATACAAAGCACAAAGTATGTTGCGGCGCGCAACCCGATCCCACCATATAATATCATTATCGTAATTCACCCTTATTCCACCATATCAATTCAACCTTATTTCACCTGTTGCGGCGTGCAACCCGATTCCACCGTACAATATCAATATCATGCCAATACACAAAAATATATTGCAGCGCGTAACTCGATCCCACCATATAATATCAATATCATAATTCACCTTTATTTCCTCATAACATTCCACCCTTATTTCACCTGTTGCGGCGTGCAACCCGATCCCACCATATAATAACAATATCATAATATAAATATCCTCCCTTATTTTACCACCTCCCTTATTTCACCTATTGCAGCGTGCAACCCGATCCCCCCTTACAATAATTCAAATCAACAACAACAATTCAATGACTCCATTTACAAGAATTTCTACAATCAAGGGAATCAGTACCCAACGACAAAGAAACCACATAAATCCCGGAGGAACACAACAATTATACAAAAATGACAGGGCAGATAAGGTACGTGGTAACTAAGTATGCAATCATAATAATTAAGGCAGATAGCAGATAAGTGCAAGACATGGAACAATTCAACAGTTAAGCGGTAACAAGACAATAAGGAAGGTAGTAACTTCAACTACGGCATATAAGGCCAAATAATGAGTAAGGAGTACAGTAGGTGCCAGCAATTCAGATAAAGCATGTAAGAGTAGACTAACAACGAGATACCACATATTATGACAATTCAATTAAAGGCATAAAAAAAATATTAGACAACATAAACCGGTCAAGTACCATATATAGACCGTGTACCCACTCGTCACCTTGCGTACACGATTTTTACATAACAAGATAGCACAATTAACTCAATTTCTAAGTGGTGGGTTCCCCCACACAAAGTTAGGCAAGACACTTACCTCAGAGAAGACAAACCGATACTCTAAAATGAATTTTGCGGGTGAAATGACCTCCGAACGGTCCAAATCTAACAAAAATAACTTCAAAGCACAAATAAAACTCATAAGAAACTACTCTGGATCATAAAGTCTCAATCTTTATCAAAATCTAAAAATCGGTCCAAAAGTCAACCCCCGGGCCCGCACCTCGAAATCAGACAAATTTCACAAAACCCTAACACCCATTCCGACACGAGTTCAACCATACTAAAATTACCAAATTCCGATACCATATCGTCTCTCAAATCATGATTTTTCATTTTGAAAACTTTCTTCAAAAATCACCATTTTCATCAACTCAAAACACAATTTAAATGATAAAAATAAAGATAAAATCATGGAATATATTAAATTCTAGGTGAAGAACACTTGCCCAATCGATTTGCTTGAAAAGCCCACGAAGAATCGCTCAAAACTGAGCTCTACAAGTCAAAATATGATAATAATGGCCTAACTCTCGATTTGGAAAACTTATATTCTGCCCATGTCTGAAAGCATCACGAATGCGAGACGGCGAACAAGAACGCGAAGAAGAAATATGAGGCTGCTAGGAAGAGCTTCGCGAACGCGGGTGTCTAATCGCGAACGTGGTGAAGGGAAAAAGCAAACCTTCGCGAACACGAGAGGTTGAACGCGAACATGTAGAAGGATCTCGAGGTGGTCAGCAGAGACACTTCGCGAACGCGAAAGGAGCTTCGCGATCGCGAAGAAGAATACTAGAAAAACAGAACAACAGTTCAAAAATAGGAGAAATTGACCTGTAGCCCACCCGGAATACATCCGAGGCCGCCGGAACCCCGTCTAAACATACCAACAAGTTTCATAACCTAACACGAACTTGCTCGGGATCTCAAATCATATCAAACAACGTCGAAACTATGAATCACGCCGTGAATCGAACTTATGAACTTTCAAATCTTCCAACTTCTAAAACCTATGCCGAAACCTATCAAATCAACCCGGAATGACGTCAAATTTTACAGGAAATCTTGGTAACCCCTCTCATCAGTAACATAAGAATCAATTGTATGTACTAAATATTTCAGTATTTCAAGTAATTAAGACTTGTGAAATAAATTTGATGAGTCTTGCCAGAATAATGATTCAACATCAGGAGGAAATCAACCAGCAACTCGATCCGCTAAATCACCAAAGAAGAAAAAGAAGAAGAAGAAGAAGAAAAACAATCTGCCTATAATATTTTTAGTTTTAACTCCTCAGCATGCCACTTAACGTGCAAACAGTTCTTTCCTTTGCTAAGTAGGTTGAAATATTTTAGTTTGAAAAAAAAAATAATCTGTCTATAATTTTTTAAGTTTTAACTCCCGAGCATGCCACTTAACGTGCGAAAAGTTTTTTCCTTAGCTAAGTAGGTAGAAATATTTTGGTTGAACGATGGGCGCATGACTTAAACCAAGAGTTGATACCAAATTAAATTGTGTGAGCCAATTCATGTAAAAGATAATCGCCATAAAAGTTTTTAGTTTGTCAAATGATCATTCCTAATACAAGTAGATTTTGGCACAGAAAAATCTATTAGTAATAGTCGTCATTGGTTCAACACAAGAAACAGAGCAAGAAACCAACACTAAGAAACAAGGAGAGAATACGTCACAAAAAGAATGCTTGTAATTACCTTGAGAGGATTAGAGTTTCATTATTTAAGAAGATCCTTAAAGTGAGATTCCGGAACATCTACCGCCCTATTCTCCATTCGAAGCTCGTCTTTTAGAGGTTTCAAAGTGATTTTATTTAACTAATCTTATACATTCTCCAAGCAGTCTGAATTGATTCCAAAGCCCATATTTTCACCTCTTTGGGAGTGCCATATTTTTTCTACAAGTTTAGTGAAATTAGGTTAGTGTAAAAAATATGAAATATCCATGTTTATTGAACATTGCGAACTTCAAACCTTGATATATTTTCGCATATCATTTTGTGTGTCTAGTTTCTTCCAACTAAATACTTTAAGAGGACAAAAGCTCATATTCCTCGTCAATATGCCGAGGAAGCTACCCAACTATTTTACAATCAAATTGTACCTGCTCGAACTTGATTTGAAGCTCCAAAATCACCAAAAGCTAAGACTGTGACAGATTAAATAGCATTATGGGACTCGTAATTCGGCCAAAATAGATCTCTGCACAACATAAAATTAAGATAAAATTTTATGTTTTCCTCATAACGAGAGCAAAAAGGAAGGAATTATATTACAAGCAAACCCTAATAGATCTCTAACTTAGATTGAGCTACACACCACAACCAAGAATAAGACCAGATTCCAAACATTAAAGAAACATCTATACTCATCAAAGTTTATATTAATGTGTTATAGGCTATTTGGTTATACTGTATAGATATGAAGATAATAAGTTACAAACCTGGATACACGCTAGAGAGTAAGAGGTAAAGACCTGTGGGCCAAATTAGTATTATTTCTCATTCAATTTAACATTTACGTTTTAATTTGAAACTTTATATAACTAATAGTTTCAGTAAATTTATTTAGGCAAGAAGCATATATACATCGGTGGAAAAAGTCAAAAGCAAAAGTATGTATTGCTAAATGTGCGAGATAAAATGAACGATAGAAGATCAAATGCCAGAAAACAAACAGAGAAATAAGAGACTCAGATATCCAGATTTTTCGTGAGACAGAGAGGGACAAAGTAGAGATGTGAGTAGCAAAATACCATTCTTATACATGGACCAAAAAATAGACTGGAAACATACTCAAAGCTTCCAAACATATCAAACGAGAGAATTATGTGCCAGAATTGTCTAGTATTTTTTCTAGTCAGATTGTTGTGTTTGAATTATTTGGTTGGTACGATATTGGTTGCAGATTGTGAGATTTGTTTAATATTGTAGGAGAATCCTTATGCAATTAGCAAATCTTGAAATTAGACTTAAAAAACTCAATACAAAAAATAAGTAACATACAACAACATCAACTAAATTGACAAATCACAATCTAATAACATCTCTTTACTAGAACTTTAGAGAAAATAGTTACTGCAGACCTAATAGAAATCCATTCCAAGAAAAAACTTGTTCAACAGAGAAAGGTAACATATAGTTTTTGATTTAGGTGTTGGTGACCTCCAAAATTCACGAAGCTGAAAGAGGACCAACAAACTCAACCCCCTCACACAAAAATAAAATCCACAGGTTCAACTTTTATTTTTTACAAACTATAAAGCCCACAAACTAAACCCCCATTTTTCCAAACTAGAAATCAATATCGATATAATAGAGCAAAAAAAGTGTACCCACCAAATCTCTAAAGAACAATAATAGAATTATAGGAAAAATGTTACCAGAGAAGGAAAGAGGAAGACGCATCAAACAGAGAACACTGTAGGATTCTTTCAGTTCAGTCAGATACGAGAAAAATTAAGAACAAACCTAGGCCGGAGGGAAGCCTTCGCTGGACATAGGGCAGGTCGATGTGTACGAGGGTGAAACAAAGGAGAAAAGAGAACACTGTATGGGTGAAACAAAGGAGAAAGAGAACACTGCATTCAGTCACATACGAGAGAAATCAAGGGAAGCATTTGCTGGAGACGGGCAGGTCAATGATGTGTTGGCTGGAGATGGGTCAGTGAAAGCGGCGTAGGTCGATCTATTTGCGAGAGTAAAATAAAGTTTTAGGGCATGAGTTTTGGTATATGTGTGAGACCAAAAAAAAAGAACTAATAAAAAATAAGGTTGTGGACCGCAGGCTTAGTAGAATTAGGAGCGGGAAACAAGAGAGGGAACCAGGAACCGTAGCCACAACCTTATTTTCACATCAGCGTTGCAATAAACTATTCTATAGCAACGGTTTACGTAAACTGTGCCATATCTCTATCTATAGCAACGGTTATGTAACTATTGTAACGGTTTGCTTTTAGAACTGTCCCAATAAGTCTTAAAGGCTTTGTTAACGGTTAAAACCATTGCAAACATCTATAGCAACGGTTAGATAACCGTTGCTAAAAAACTGTTGCCATAGGCCTATTTTCCAGTAGTGAATGAGGTAAGTATCTTGCCTAATCTTGTTGTGAGGGAATAACCCTTAGGATATGACCTGATTTGACTAGTTGGAATGTGTGAGAAGTGACATATATGCAAGGTGATGAGCATATATGCAGGTGCAATGTATGATTTATGACCGAAGTAGTCTTTAGGTTGTATCATGGCTTGTTGTGGATATTGTGCTTCCTTCTATCATCCTTTGTATGTTTGCTATGTAAACTTCTTGAATCGTGCTAGAGATCATGTGTAGGTGTTGATTTCGTTTTTGAACATGATACTTATTATTCTATGGCGTATCCACCTAATCTGAGCAGTAGTCGTGTACTTTGCACATGCATACACCTTAGAATGCTATTTTCCTCAGTCCATGAGTATGTGATTTGATATCTATTGTTTGTATACATGTATTCTTGTATATGCTTTCTGTGTGATGGACTGGATTGACATTACGTGAGGGTTCCGTGAGGGTTGAGTTGTTATAGCACGTGAGTTGTCCGTGCGGTTGTTATGGTTATGGAAAGTGAGTTGTTCGTGCGGTTGTTATAATTATGGCACGTGAGTGGCCCGTGCACCGTGCGGATAAGGATCCACCCCTAGGGTCATCCTCTCATGTTTCTCCTTGATGACGTACACGCAGATTATGAAAAATTGATCAGTGGTTGGATTGTGCGTATCTTCTCTATATGCAAACTCCTTGGATGTATATATGATCTTTACCGCGTATTTTCTCTATAAGCTATTTTACTTGATGATATGATTTACGGTACATATCTTCTCTATGTGTTAATTTGTGCAACCTACCTTGTTTGCTCATGCATATCTTCTCTATATGCAACTATTGACCGCTATTTGACATGTCATGCATATATCCTCTATATTCAACTATTGACAGTTATTTGACATTTCATGCATATCTCCTCTATATGTAACTATTGACGGCTATTTGATATTTCATGCATATCTTTTCTATAAGCTGCTTTGATTCAAGAAGTGATTTACAATACATATCTTCTCTATATGTCAACTTGTGTAACCTGGATTGTTCATTTATGCATATCTTCTCTATATGCAATTGTTGATGATTTATTTATACTTGGTGAATATCTTCTCTATATGTTGGACTGTTAGTTGGTTTACGATGCTTGTGTATATCTTCTCTACGTGCACTGATGAACTTATATGTGTTGATGTGTACATGTTTATACTATTGAGTTGTACATGTTTAAGTAAAGTGAGTATCTTATGACTTAACAATCTCATCGCTACATCACCGAGGTTAATCTTGATACTTATTGAGTACATGAGGTCGGTTGTACTCATACTACACTTCCATACGCTGCGTGTAGAACTTAGATCTGAGCTGCTATGGATTACGAAGGCTAGCATTGCAGACGCACCCGCATTCTAGATATAAACTACCAGTTGTTCGTGGTAGATTAGGATTTGTACTTCTGTTTATGTATATTCAAATATATATTGTATTTTCTTCGTACCAGTATTGTAAATCTAAATATTAGTGGCTCATGACTTGTACTACCAATCATTGGGATAGTTGTATGGATTTAATTCATATTATTTGTTGTTTATTGATCATATTTCATTCGAGTTGTACTATTTGTTGTTTGTCTTACCTAGCATGTTAAGGTTAGGTTTGATCACGACTAGGTAGAATTTTGGGTCGTGATATACGTATTGTGTACCAGTTTAATATTATTAGAGTGTTTGATTTGAATACCCGCATTTGAAGGTAGGCGCATGTAGAATTTGAAATACCCGCATTAGAAGGTGGGCACTGGTAAAATTTGAAATACCTGTATTAGAAGGTGGGCACCTATTTATGTGAAATACCCTCATTAGGAGGTGGGTGTCTATAAGATTTGAAAAAGTTATCTTTCATATGCAAGAAAATTGGTGAAAAGGACTCTAGTAATCCCTTTTTCCATTGATTTCTGCATTTGCATTTTTTGATGCTTTTGTAAAGAGTATTGAAAAATTGAGATGTAAAGAGACAATGTGATTTGCTTATCAATCATTTCTTTTCTTCAGTTGGTACCAACAATTAGTATTATGCATAAAAATTTCCACCATATACTTTCTCGGAAGCCGAGATTGGCTTATGGATAATTCCTATATCTCCGAGTGGAACCTCAGGTATACCTAAATATCGACAAGATTTGTTCGTCTTGCTTCAATCAAAGATATTGAAATTTTCTTATCCTCATGTTTCAAGTTCTATCACAACAAATAAATTCCTAATTTGCACACAACATTAAAGTGTCTAAATATTTAGGACATTTGAGAAGCACGCTCACACTCAGAAGGATATCCAATGCATGCGATAGAAATACCATATGCTTGGTATTTATGTGAATATCCATTTGTGTGAGAACACTTGGAATAGTGATGTTTGGCTATAATTATATATTTTTAGTGCATTACTTACCTTATATTTTGGGGCTTTAATGCTAAACTATACTATATTTGTACTTAATTGAGTCTATTTTATGTGTAGGTACGTTGAAGACGAAATTGGAAATAAAGTAGAGATTTTATGTGTATTTTATACACTACAAGAATAGACCATAATCATTTATCGATTAGAAGCATTATAATGCTATATGGAGCAATGATTGAAGAGACAAAAAGAAACAATGCAAGGGAATTTGAAAAAATAAATAGAAACGAGAATGAGAAATGAGATTGAAAAGTTAGGCAGCAAAAAGATTGAATTAAAGCTAAGCAGTTGGGCACAAAATTGAATTCTTAACATTTGATTTGATGTTAGGCAGCAAGAAGTCAAACTCAATTCCGGGCAACGCGAGCAATCTAGCTCGCTATAGAGCATGCGACACGAACAATTTAGCTCACTATGGAGCGGGCGCCACGAGGGTTATCGTGAGACCATGCGCGCTATAAAGGTTGCGAGGCACGGTCTACAATGAGCGTGTTCTAAGTTTTTAAAGCCTATTCTGTCTCCTATTTAGTTTTGGACGTGGTTGTTTCGTTTGGGTCTCTTCCCTACACATATAAATAGTCATTAAACACCATTTTTGAGGGAGTTTTTGCGATCGGAGGCAAGAACATCACGTGGAACAACTTACGGAGGAGAAAATCATTGAGTTATTCATTCCTTTATCTTTTCTTTGTAATTTGTTTATGCAAAATACTTGAAAAATTATTACTACGAACATGAGTGGCTAAGCACTCTAGTTCTAGGGTTGTGGTTGACATGCTTATTAACGTTTATTAATTACATCTTCGTTAATTCAGATTATCATTTTGTGGTTGTTTCTTTAATTCTTGTTTTAACTTGTGAAATGTTGTAGCTACCAATTCATCCTACTATCTATGGTATGCTTGGAAAAGCCGTGTTTAGATTAGAGTAGAATTAGAGAGAGCTTGTTTTTGGACCCGTGGCTCGGGGGACGATTTCGCGGTTAGGATAGGAATATACCTAACAATCTTGCTTAAGTGAATACTGTATTATATTCGTTCATGATAGACTCAATAGCATAGGAATATAGGATTGATATATTATGGGCAGGCGAGTAGTACTGTGGGAACATGTTATTTATATAAACGATCCGGTTAATTAGCAACCATAGATAATCTGGATTAACGAGTGTGATTATTATACTTAATAGGATTGATAAACCAACCACAACCCTAAAATTTTTATCTCCTCTGAAGTAAAATCTCATCATACACATTTGAATTCTTGATAAATTAGTTGTTATTTGTTTAATTTCCACAATAGTAGATTAATAGAAAAATATCACTCTTAAATATCTTGGATAATTAATTGATTTTAGTTTGCTTAGTTGACAATTGATCTAAGTCTCGGTGGGTTCGGCATCCGACTTTCGAGTCACTTTATTACTTGACGACCTCGTATACTTGCGTGTACTTGGGGAACTAACAAATAGGGCCTCATATACTTGCGTGTACTTGGGGAACCAACAAATAGGATCATGTAGGGCTTGTTATCAGCTTGTAATGCAGGCTTGGGTAAATATAGGATATTCATTCTAGATGAAAGTGACTAATCCCTCCTTGAGCACTATTCTATGTTTTTGTTTTCGGCATTTAAACCATGATTTGCCGCTTGATCTTGTTTGACTATCCGTTTATTTTAGTTTTTGTTTTGACTTCCTTTTGAACTTATCTTTTTTTCGGAGGTTCTTCTTTCTCTTTTCGAATCTTTTTCTCCCTTTTTGAGGTTTCTCCTGCTTCGCAAGATTTTTTTCTTCTTGTTGGAGTTTATCTTCTTTGTTGAAGTTTTCCAACTTTTGGATTTGTGGAGTTATATTTTGTCTTCTTTGTTGAAGTTTTCCACCTTTTGGATTTGTGGAGTTATTTTTCTTTTATTGGATCCTCCTTTCGAATTTATAAAGTTTTCGCTTTCTTTTCAAAAGTCATATATTTGATTGTCTTGAACTTTTCATATTGCACCTCTTCATGCTTGTCGCCTTCACTTGGGCCTTTGTCCGAAGTTGCATGCTTTCAGTGCGCTCGAGGAGGTCGGTACAAGAGAGGGGTACTGCATTAAAGAACCTAAAAATGTGTAGGTTATGATGTGTTTGTCCAAAAATAAAAGACTTGAGGCTCAAAAGGGGGGATGCTACAGATCAGTGTCATTTGGTAGGCTAGAAAGGCA